CAGTAGCAAATTTTTCGGGCAATCACTCGGGCTTTTCTTTCTTCACCATAATGATAAAAAATGTCGGCTAATTTTTCACAAGAGTAATTATTAATAATATCCTCCGCTTTTAATTTACTTTTTTCGCTTATTCGCATATCAAGCGGTGCATTTAAACGATAACTAAATCCTCTCTCCTCCTCGGATAACTGGTCCGAAGAAAGTCCCAAATCAAACAAAAATCCATCTACTTCGTGAATACCCATTTTTTTTAAATGCTCTTCCAAATTGGCAAAATTATCATTAACGAGATGAAATTGTGGAGAAAGAAAAGATTTATCATTTGGAGCCAATTTACTACTTTTTTCATCCCATTCAAAAGCAATTAATTTACCTTTTTCCAATTTTTCTAGAATGGCTCTCGAATGACCGCCTCTACCAAAAGTGCAATCAACATAAATTCCCTCCTTTTTTAAATTGAGATAATCAAGAACCTCATTCAACATTACTGGGACATGAATTCCACCACTCACGGACATTTTATTGCTTTAATATCTTATTTTTTCCTAAATTCAAACAAAATTCTCTCCACCCATTTTTTTACTTGTCTTCTTTCTTTTCTTCTTCGGTCTTCTTCTCCCCTTCCTTAATTCTTTTCCAATTTTTCCCTCCTGTTAAACTTTTTCAGGAAAAGTAAGCATAAGTCAAAGCGTAGATAATACTAATAATTAAAAAAATTATGGCTCCAATTTTACGGCGGTCATCAGGATTAGGAAAAAAGTTAAAATAACTGCCAATTACAATAAAGGGCATCGCAATCCCGGCTGCAATCACAAAAAATAATTCAAAAAAATCTTTTATATTCATATTCTTAATACCTTCGTTTTCTCTCAATAAAAAAACACTTAATATATTTTTACATTTTAATGACTAAATCTCTCCTCAAAAAATATTTACTTTTGCTGCTTATTTTTATCATAACTTTGCTGTTGTTAGTGGGGATAATAATAATTTCTCGACCACCAACCAAAACTAAAAAAGAAACTGTGTCCTTGAAAACCCTAATTATCCAGCCAACTAAAAAACATTCGGCTAGTGTGATTTTCCTCCATGGTTTAGGAAATAATGCTGAAAACCAGCGAATTATTTGCCAACCACTAGCCGAAAAGTATCCTCACATTAAGTTCATCATTCCCCAGGCTCCTACCATTTCAGTGAGTATGAATCGGGGTTGG